TTCACACAAGCCGCTCTCATAGCAGCAAACCTCTCCGTGTCATTGTCTTTCAAATGCATTGTTGAAGAAACGCTTATTTTGAGCTAATCTTGTTGTCTGTAGCCCTCTGGATGGTCCCTGACTTGCTTCATGGCCGTCTTCTTTTATTTTTAAGTTCAGGTGAAAAGCCGCAGATGCTTTTTTCTCTAAAAACCCGGGAGCCCAAGCCCCGTGGACTTTGCCGGTGGCAGCTCCCTGGGCACCGGTGGCCGCGTGCACAGTGTGGGCAGTCAGCGTGAAAGCATCCAGTCACTGCCGCTGATGAATATTTGCGTTGAAAAGGGATAGCCTGCATTAATTATTGTAAAGAGATGTCTTTAGGAGAAAATGGTTTTGAAATTCAGTTTAATTTCATTGTAATGCGCTGCAAACAGGAAGGGAGTGTGTGTGTTTAATTGGCTCTCGGGGGTGAGGCCTGGAAGCCGTGTGCCTTTGTCACAGGCCATTAGCGATACAGCCTGCATAACGAGCGGGCGCAATCAGCTCACAGCTGCCGGCTCCTGCGGGGAGAGCATGATATTAAATAGAAATCAGGATAAATGAAACTTAACCCTTTCCCTGGCCGGCCCCTCCTGCCGTGGGGTTCTGGAGGGTTGCTGGGGAGCCGCTGCTGGCGGCTGCACGGGGAAGGGCCGAGTCCGCCGTGGAGGAGAGGAGAGAGGTCGCCGGCCATCCCTGCCCAGGTCCTGCCGCCTTCCCCAGGTGTGCGGGGAGCTCCCTACAAGCCTCCCCCCCACCGGGGTCGTGGCTGCCCCTCGGGGAGGAGATCCAGGGTCTCCTGAGAAACCCTCTGGCAGTCACAGTGACCCCTCCTGGCTGTCGTCCCGCCGGAGCGCCACCACGTGGGCTCAGAAACCATCGCACGTGGGCACCAGCGCTGGCCCGGGCAGGGGGCAGGTGATACCCCAGGAGCCAGGTGCCCTCGGGCCTTTATGTTAACTTACTGTTGGAGCAGAGGACAGAGGACACAGCTGAGGACACGGGACGGAGGTGAGGACACTGGGTGGAGCTGAGGACACGGAGTTGGGGACATCGAGCTGGGGACATAGAATGGACACGGGGACAGAGCTAGGCAGGCCTTACGCTTCCTGCTGCCTTTGATGCTTCCCCCTGAGCAGTTTCGTGTCAAAGACACTGATAACTGAACATAAGGAAACAAAAACGGCCTGACTTTAAAAAATACTTCATCATACGCTGTTTAGCGTTAAGAAGGGACCTCACGAACCGTGCGTGCTAAGGACACATTGACGTGTTGGCTGAAGGTTGTTAGGGCGCGGGAAGCAAGTGCCCTGAGCAAATCCACCAGAATACCAGCGGGTTCTTGCCTTCTTCCGCAGCGAGCACGCGACGTTATTACCGGGGACCGACAATACGGCGACTCAGCAGCAGGGCGACAGAGGGGCCCTGGCGGGCATTGGGGTACACAGGGGTCCTCTCCAGAGCCGTGCCCCCCAGAGGATCGCTCCCTCTGCCCAGGCAGCCCTGGGGCCGGGGGAGCCAGCAAAGGCGACGGACAGATCACAGTAGAGCAGGGCGGTTGGCCGTAAAAATACATCAAATACGGTCTCACTTCCTAGTGACGAAAGAGGAAAGTACAGAGACCGAGATTTACTCCTTCGCCAAATTGGTAAAGCTTCTGAACGCTTGGCACTCGCCGCCATGAGGCTGGTGGTTCCCCTCCTGCAGGTGGGATCGTGTCAGGAGTGTTTCTGCGAATCTGTCCAAGGAAGTGAGGAGAGTGGGCAGAGACGTGTGTGCAGATGTCCGCTGGGGCGTTATTGGTAAGGCGGGAGGGCAGTGATGGAGGCTGCCGGTCGTCAGGCGCGCCCGGCAGTGGGTGTTGAGAGGCCTTTAGAAACTGTGCTTTGGAGACCAATGATAACATGAACTGGTGATGCGTGCCGTGCGCGTGCTGGGTTCCTGTGCGCTGAGCACACCGCCGGCCCCCGTCACCCGTGTGAGGGGCTCCCTCTTTGCCTGGGTCTCTGGCCCCCGGCGCTCCCACAGCGAGCTGCTGCTCTCACGGACACGGTGGGTACACGTGTGCTTACACTCCCCGCTTCCCTGGTGAAGAAGGACCCGGAAGGGCGCTCGGGCCCCGAGTCTGCCCTGCTCACCTCCCGCCTCGCGGCTGTCTGAGTTCTGGTTTGCTTCTCCAACCAGGGATCTTCCGTTTTGGCCAATAAGTCCTAGTCAGGACCTACACCCAGTGATGCCGTGCTGGGCATCGGCCACGCGTGTTCGTGGGTGTGGGTGCGCGGAAGGGAAGGCTGTCACCGACCTGGGAGGCGGGGTCACAGTGAAGGCTGTGCCAGGCGACGGGGCACAGACTGCTCCTGGGGACAGTCTGCTACTGGTCCGGCCCCCGTGCTGGCAGCTCCTTCCTGAGTGTGTCATGTCTTTCGGTTTTTGTCTTGCTTAAAAATCCTTTGTTTCCCAGGGCTCCCGGGGGTGCTGTCCTGTGTCATCTTGTGTCACTTGTCAGGCTCTGCTTTCATAAAGCTAAGTCTCAGACCCCCCGGACGGGCTCCTGTGGGCAGCGATGCGGAGGGCGCCCCCGTTGGATGGCGAGCTCCCGCCACCTGCGGGCCACCGTGCTACTCCTTTGGCCCCACGCCCTGGGCGGCGGATGACTATGAGTTTGCGGTTTATGTCAAAGTTGCACACGCGGCTTGAGGACCCCTGTGGCCCCGGCAGTCTGGGAGCCCGCCCCGGAGGCCCCGCCCTCAGCGCGTGGGGCACTCGGACCCGAGGCTCATGGTAGCCGCGGTCCTTCTGTCCTTGCCTCCCTGAGCAAGGCGTCTAGCGCCACTCCGCCTCCTGGGGGAGAGCCCGGTGCCGGCCGCCCCCACCGGGCCCCTCCTGCACCCGCGGCCGCCTCCTTCCCTTCCGCTCCGGAGCCCAGGAGCCCCCTGACGACGGGCACGCGGGTGCACGCTCGGGGGGCACGTGTGTCTGACGTGCTCATTCTGTCGGGCCGGTAGAGTTCGGGGTCGGAGCCTCCGCGTTTGCCGCAGCTGCGCCCTTCCTCACGCTGCACGGCCTTTCCCCTCTTTGCGGTCCTGGAGAATCGTCTCCGTCCCAGACACCTGAAGTCGGACAAGCCGAGCGCCGAGGCCGCTCCGACTTTGACTCTGTCCTGATGCCGGTGCTCGGATCCCCACGGCCTGCGATTCTGGGAGCCGGTCGGCTGATTTTCTCCCCCTGGAGCCCGGCCGGCGCGCAGGGGCTGAGAGCAGGAAGGGCAGGCGGGAGGCCGAGCCCCGTGTTCACAGGCCTCCTTCCCCCACGCACCCGCCCCCCCCGGCCTCCCCCAGCGCGTCCGCCGAGCCTCCGGTGCCGACCAGCTTCCCGGGGCGCCTGTCCACACCCTGCAGGTCAGCTGTTCCCGACCTCTGGGTCCCAGCTTGAAGTCTCCAGCGTTTCCTACCGTCCCTACTGAAGGCTTCGGGCCCTGGAAACGTGGTCACTCTTGGTTTTCTCGAGAGGGAGAGGGCCTAGCAGTGTGTGTCACACCGGCGGGCTTTAGGGGGCTCGTTCTCCCGGGAGTTGTCCCATTTCCTTCCGGCGTCTTCCTAGGCCTCTTCGCCACAGGAGTGAGTCCCCGGGCGGTGGGAGGGAGGCCGCCGCATGAGGGAGGAGCCGGGCCTCGGGGTCCCCCTCGTGCAGGCGGGTGACAGCGGCTCCTCTGTCTTTCAGGCGCCCAGCTGTCTGGGTAGCAGAGCCGAGGAGAGGGGCTGGCACGTGTGCCCCCCGCTGCCCGGCCTAGGCCTCCGTGCCCGCAGACGGACGCAGGAGCGGTAGGGGGGAGCAACCCCCATCTCCCCAGGGACCAGGAGCCAAAGCCTGAGTCC